AATTCATATATTTTTGTAAATTCTTAATTTTGTTTTCAGTGCATTTTGGCGACAAGTGGCAAACCGCAGGTATTGGCCAACACACCGATATAGGCATATAGGTAGAAGCGGGCACAGATACAGATAAAGCCACCTTCGAGCAACTGGTTGAGATGCGCTCAAAAATGACTTCAATCCGTTCGGATGGTCGTCTCGGGTTCGTTTTGATTTGGCTTATAAATCGGAGGGAGCGGGCACGGGGACTGCGACTATGAAATGTCCAAGATGGCCTTCGGTGATTTTTGCAGCGATTAAAAACCGATGACGATGTGGTCGCCGCCGGTTTACTTAGCATTCAAAGTGGCGCAAAGAGATTTATACGAATTGTTGCGACAATTTCAATTTTTTTTTCCTTTTTTGCCCTGCTGCTCTTGACTCATTCAATTGAAATTCTTGAACAATGTTATTGTCTTTTAATGATATTGTTGTTGTTCATCTCGACAGTTGATAGCCAACACTTTCGACCTTTTGCCACGGATAGTTCTATATCGGCATCAGCATATGCATCTTCGAACATGGCTGACACAGTTTCAGTTTACATTTAATTGTGTGGCGTTATGGGGCTTTAATAGATCCGAGTACAGTGCACACATATATGTAGGTGCTGGCCAGCTTTATGCCTGCCAAGATTTATGCTCGCCTCGAAGATGCCATTAAATCGGATTCGAACGACCAACAGTTAACTGGATATTATTTACTATTGTGCGATTTGTTTAAAGACTCAACACGGATGGGGCTGGCTGACACGATGATCATTATGTTGGGTGGTAAATGCTAAGGATTCCCCCGAGAATGCCTTTGAGTTTTAATTAATAATTTTATGGGTTACGCTTTTCCAAAGTACAAGACCATTAATAAAATGTTTTTTCTTACAACTTGGAAGTCAAAGGCCTAAAGCGTAATTCAATATTATTTATGCTTAGTTAAATTTTAAGTTAATTAGTCCCTGTTCAATATAGAAAAAAATTGTAATTCTTCAATATCAAAGCCAAATTTAAGATCAGATGTTATCTGTTGATTCCACGAAATATTACCGTAAATATTTCCCTGAATGAGAATTGAATATTTTCGATTTCTTGTCATGTCAAAAGTCACGTTCAGATTTTTGTTTCTCCCACATTTATAATATTCGCATTTTTCAATACATTTTTTGATTTTTTTCTCCTTTTATTAATAAACACACCTTTTTTGTGAGGCAGCAGACTAGGCCAGAAACAATGCCCTCCACCCAGAGAGCCTGAGCCAGAGTTCCCAGATCAATATGAAATATCATTCCAAATATGGCCTTGGGTCATTTAGAAAGCAATTCATCGAAGACGCGGCTCTGGCTGAACTCTTCGATCGGCAAACAAAGAAAATAAAAATAGAAATAAAAATAAAAAAAGATGCTGAATAAAACTACCGTGGGCTACTGCCAAAAATGCTACCGGGAAGAGTGCGCGATAAACATTTAAGATTAGCCATTTTAACCATTGTCTGGCGATGGCCCCAAAGCAAATAACATTAGGAAATTTGTAATTTGGGTTGGGTATGCCGATGCATACTATGCATTTTTACAGCATCTTTCCCGAAAACTGCGAGTTTCTAATTGTTTTTAGGACCCGCAACGAGAGAGATTTTCTGGCCGGCTCGTTAACAAATTTATTACAATGCAGATGGGGGAAAAAAAGACCTGGCCATTGCATAAGTTTGCTAATTTTTTTCGTTCGTTTTTCTTCTTTTTATATAATATCGTTAATACATATTATTTGGCAAGCTCTCAAGTCAGGCTCTGTACTTTGAACTGCGAACTCGCAATGGAGGCAGAGCCAGTGGTACAGGCAGATTCACTGGGGACCTGATCAATGGACCTGGACATGTAGGCATCTGCCGAAATTGATGGGGGGTTGGGGTCCGGGGACCGGGGACCAGAGGGGAATCTCTTGTGCAGTGACCCAAAGAAATGGTAATGCGAGCCAGCTCGTCGGCTCGTCTTCGCTTTTTGGCCGGGTCAAAATGGCCCATGCCCGGCCACTCAGTCATTGAGTCAGTGGGTGCCACAGTCCGTCTCCGTGTGAAGATCTGTGAGAAGTATACAAATGGGTCTCGGGTTCGGTTCAGTCTCGAGCCAAAGGAGTTTACTCATTTTGGGGCAGGTTTTTCGCTTTTTCTTGGCTGCAACTTGGCGGCTTCGATGCTATCGCCTTTGAAATCCACGACAGCGACAAAGCCAGACTCATGGCCTAATAGACATGGAGGAGTCCCCAGTTTACAGTCTCCAGTCTTCAGACTGCAGTCTGCAGTCTTCAGTCCCCAAGCAACTAACTTCCTGCAGTACCTTTGATGATGATGCTTCGTCTGGGCCTAGACTTTCACTATTAATTGTCGATTTTCATCAATTGTTGTTCATTGTTGTACTAGCCATCTTTGTTGCTTAATGGGTAATGGGGTTGGTATTTAAAGTTGTGCAAAAAAAAGCGAAAAAACCAGACAGAAAACTAAAGAAGAGAAGAAAACCCAATTTCTGTTTCATATCGAAATTGGATCTATTACTCAATGGGGCGACCGAGTGAGAGACAATTTGATTGATTTATGCAATACCCAGCGACTCTTCGGACCTTTTCTCCATTGTCAGTTAATTGCTCAATGCAAAGTAGAAGATGCACCCATTGCTTGGCCAATTTGTGGGCCCTAAAACAGCCTTGTAAGAGTTGTAAGAGATATCCAAACTCATTTGCATATTGATTAGCACTTGACAGCAGAAGAATAGTTACTCATAAAACTGAGCCATGAAATGGTAAATAAATAACACTATGTGACATTAAAAATGTACCTCTATTGATGCCTTCGAACATTCGTTCGCCAAAAAATTCCCCGAAGCAAGAGTTATGAGAAAAAGGACCTCAAAGTTGGACAAATGCTGTTATTACAGGCGATCGAATTCTTGGTTTGTTAGGCAGTCAAATCATTTGAAAAGTGCCTTTCCTTCTCTTTCGGATCCCATTCTCGATATAGGTTTAGTTTTTTTTAAGGAAAAAAGATTGAAAGAAAACATAGCCATACCCATATAGCTGCGGTGAAAATAGTAGTGCGTTTTTAAAAGTTCGTTGTTCTGCTAAAGTATTTGATAAATTTTTTCTGTGGACTTAGACTGACATTCTTTGCAAAAACTACAATACCCAAATATTTGTTACTGACAAAGTATGGCCAAAAAATGGGGAGAGCCAGCATATATGAATGATTCTGAGTTGTTTTTTGTTTTAACCAAATGCAGCAATTAACCATCTAAAAGGCAAGTTATGCGTTTGCCTTGCATTTCGAATTGTTGATTATTTTTTACATTCTGGTTCTTGTTTTATTTTTATTGGCAAGAAAACTGGAAAATCTGGTAGAATCGGAAAATTGTTTCTAATTTGCAGAAGATGTTTAAATGATTTATAGGAATTTTATTTTAGTATCTTTTATTGCATTACCTGATTGTTTACTTTATTTTAAATGCTTTTAGAATAGCGAACACCGTTTAATTTCTATTTCGATTTTGTTATGTTTTTTTGTCCTCCATGCTAAAACATAATTTTGTGCAATATTTCAATTCACCTATCATGAATATTTATAAATTGTATATATTTATGTATGTCTTTATATCTATCCATCTTTTTTCCATTATTTTTTTATGACTGCCCCCTTTGAACTGTGTCCACGTTTTCTGTTTTGTTTTTCGGCTTTAGGTTTTTGGTTTTGTCTAAGACAACTGACACGACAGCCGCAGCAACATTTATTAATTTGTCAAATTCAAGCCAAGACAACACACGTTAGGAAATATTACAAAAAAATCTGGTGGGCTATGATTATTATTTTCGTGTTGTCGGTTTATAACTAATTCTCGCAGATAAAAAGTGTCAAAAGAGTCAGGCGGCCAGAAGTCAGCAGAAGTTGAGGAAAAATCTGTGGAAAAAGATTAAATAAAAATATATAGACAAAAAATCGGTTGATTAGCGAAATATGAGCATGTGTGAATAATAGGTTCGCTGGGGATTGTCGGATAGTTATGGCTGGTTTAATTAATGGTTAATAGGAATCGCTGACAGTTTATAAGTTGCTTAAAGTTTTGGGTGATTTGAAGCGGTTTAAATAGAATTAATAAAATGTTGAAATCTTTGTTTATGATTTTATTTATGGTTAATATTTATTTATCACATATTTTTAATAGCATTTGGATAGCTTTTTGCTGCCTAACATTTAGATGATATGGGGGTACTCCCATTTTATTGAAATTTTGCATCTGGCTAAGAATTCCGACTGCAATTTCCATCATAAATTATGCAAATTATGAAAAATGATTTCGCGAGCCGCAGCGAACTTCTGCTTGCATTTTGCAATGCGAATCGGCCAAAATATTTATTATAATCAAAAGCCGAACACCCGCAACGTGGCCGAGCCATGGAAGCGAGCCGTGCAGCATCGGACAACACAATTTATTACATTTTATGTGCCGCATTAACCGAACGATGGAGATGTGATCCTCGTTTAGGTTTGTTTCTGGCGCTTTTCCACCGCTTTTCTGGTGGCTACATCTTTGTTGTAACGTGAGCTCGCCTCTTGGCCAACCCCGCGACACAATGAGGAGGTGTCTCGGCATCTTTGGGATAAACAAAATATATCCATATATTTATTTATGTGGACAGCCGAGCCTGGGACTGGGACTGCGATTGAGATTGAGACTGAGCTTGAGTCTGAGCATTTCTAATTAAGACATTCGATACGGCGGCTTGCGTGTGGAACGCGAGACAATTGGGCAACGAACAGCGGCAACATTAGCACGGCAGCAATATGAATCTGCCCATATCATCGCAGATTTGGCATTTCACCAGCCATTTAGCATTAAGCTCACCCCAGAGACTCCGTGTGGCATTCATGCCCGCTTGACTTTGACTATTCTAAATTGCTAAAGACCTTTTCTTTTCGTTGAATTATCCTTGCAGGTGCAGCAGCAATAACAGCAGCCACATCGCCCACTGAGCCGAGGAAAATAAAACCGCTCGTTGCGGGGAAATTGAAAGTCGAGAAAAGTGACAGCAACAACGACAGCCAAGCAGCAGCAGCAGCAACTGTAGCTGCCAGCACCTCGGCAACATCGGCGACAGCGACAACAATTGCTGTTACAGCAGCAACATCATCAGCAGGAACAGGAGGAGCCGCAACAGCAACTGCAACATCAACGGCAGCGGCGACAGCAGCAATCCACACAACCAAAATCAGCCAACTGAGGCTAAATAACCAAGCGACAACAAGCATGTTACTTTTGCAACCTAATGTAAGTTTAGAGCAAAGGAAAATATTTAATAACTATTTAGCTGGGGAATGAATGAATTTCGTAAAATTAAAGTAATGGAACAAATAGAATATTAAATCCAGCTTAACAATTAGTTTCATTTGGGAAAGATCTTAAATGAAAATCAATTTGATTCTTATCCAGTGGATAATATTCACACAAAAAAAACACGCCGGTATAGAGCATATAAAGAATGAAAATACGAAACTCAAACTGCCTACTGAGAACATTTAGCTTAAATTTCGAGCATATCCAGTCAAAATTAATCCCACAAAATCGATCATCGTTTCATGTTCATTTAAGTTCATTTGAAAAATATTAAATTTTAAAATATTTTAGAGTCCTAGAAACCCTTTAAATATGTTTTCATTACATAAATTGCACGGCCCCCGCTGAGATATAATTTCCAAAATATAAACACACCGAGCAAAAAGTGTGCAAAAATCTATGCAAATTTGGCAAGCCCAAAAATGAATGGCAGCGCTAATTGCCAGCTGCTAGGAGGTGAGTCCTCTCCAGCGAATTCAAGTTGCGAGGTGAGGAGATCAATTGCAGCGGCAAAACAACAATTAGACAGCTATTGTTAGGTGCGATATGTTGGGAAAACATTTTGGCATAAGCATAACCAATTAGGAAATCATCATCGAGGAGTTTTCCGCGACTTAGGGGTTGCTTTGGCAGCCCAAGAACCAATGGCAGTTGCTGGGGGAAATGCGCATGTCGCAGGTCGTATGTCGGAAAAGCTAGACTCCACCCTTAGGGCTAGGATATCTAGACGGGAACGGCAAGCTCACTAACTCATTCGTCCGCCGACTGTCTTTCGTTGCAGAGCTCCTTTAGTTCATTGTCGCCCTTCGATAATTTTTCCACGCAAACCGCTTCGACGACCACCACAACGTCGGCATCGGCAGCTGGACACCACCAACACCAACACCACCTCCTCCATCAGCAACATCACAACCAGCAGCAGCAGCAGCAGCATCAACAGCAGCAGCAACATTTGCAACAGCAACACCAGCAACATCACCTTGTGAGCCCGCAGCAACACCTGCTAAAGTCGGAGACGCTGCTCTCCCATGAGGAGGATCAGTTGATCAGCAACCTGACCGACGCGTCCGTGGTCTCCCACAGCGAACTCTTCTCGGATCTCTTCTTCCCCTCGGATTCCAACAACTCCCTGCTCTCCCCGACCACCAGCGGCTATCCGGACAATCCCGCCGAGGACCTGACCAGCTCCATTGAGAATCTCACCAAGTTGACTTGCCTGCGGGACAAGCGGCTATCCTCCATTCCCGAGCAGCAGCTGAGCTCCGAGCAGGAGCAGCAGCTCTGTCTGCTGAGTCTGCGTTCCAGCAGCGATCCGGCGATTGCATTGCACGCCCAGCAGCAGCAGCAACAGCAGCAACAACAACAGCAGCAACACCAGCAGCAGCAACAGCATCAACTCCAGCTGATCTCGCCCATCGGAGGGCCATTGTCCTGCGGCAGCAGTCTGCCCAGCTTCCAGGAAACCTACTCCCTGAAGTACAACAGCAGCAGTGGGAGTAGCCCCCAACAGGCCTCCTCCTCCTCCACCGCTGCCCCCACGCCCACTGACCAGGTGCTGACCCTCAAGATGGACGAGGACTGCTTCCCGCCGCTTTCCGGCGGCTGGAGTGCCAGTCCGCCCGCTCCCTCGCAGCTCCAGCAGCTGCACACCCTGCAATCCCAGGCCCAAATGTCCCATCCCAACAGCAGCAACAACAATGGCAACCAGAACAACAACAACAACAGTGGGGGCTACAACTACCATGGGCACTTCAATGCCATCAATGCCAGCGCCAATCTGTCGCCCAGCTCCTCGGCCAGCTCCCTATATGAATACAATGGCGTCTCCGCAGCAGACAACTTTTACGGACAGCAGCAGCAGCAACAGCAGCAGAGCTACCAGCAACATGTAAGTAGAACATTAAAAAAAATATAGAAATTTAATAAAAACTAAAATGTGGTTTAGCCAGCTTGAAAATATTTATGAAAGAATAATAAATAAACTCTTTTAAAGTTTTTCAAAAATTATATTTTAGACCAGACATTTTTCATAGAACAATTTAACAAATATAAAATCTTCTAAAAAAATAATATTTTTCTCCTTATCCAGCTTAGAAAATATTTAAAAGAGCTAAATAAAGAGTCTCTTATATCTTCTTTTTAAAAATCCACATATTAATCCTGAAAATAAATACCTTTCAAAATTAGTACTACCTAGTAATTTAAAATTGTATTTAAAAATCGAAAGGTTAAAGCTATTAATAAATATTATTTTCTTTTGGTATACTTTCATACTTCTTAAGTCTAACCTATTAAAATTTGTATCTCCTCCTCTAGAACTACAACTCGCACAATGGCGAGCGTTACTCGCTGCCCACGTTCCCCACGATTTCGGAGTTGGCTGCGGCCACAGCGGCCGTGGAAGCGGCGGCGGCGGCCACCATCTCCTCCCCCTCGTTGGGCGGTCCTCCACCCGTTCGCCGGGCATCGCTGCCGGTTCAGCGGACTGTCTCGCCCGCCGGCTCCTCGGCGCAGAGCCCGAAGCTGGCCAAGATCACGCTGGGCCAGCGGCACACCCATGCCCATCCCCTGCAGCTCAGCTCGGCTCCCAATTCGGCGGCCAGTTCGCCGGCGAGTGCGGATCTCCAGGCAGGTCGGCTGCTCCAGGCTCCGTCGCAGTTGTGTGCCGTCTGCGGGGACACGGCCGCCTGCCAGCACTACGGAGTGCGGACCTGCGAGGGCTGCAAGGGATTCTTCAAGCGGACCGTCCAGAAGGGCTCCAAGTACGTCTGCTTGGCGGACAAGAACTGTCCCGTGGACAAGAGGCGCCGCAATCGCTGTCAGTTCTGTCGATTCCAAAAGTGTCTGGTTGTGGGCATGGTCAAGGAAGTGGTGCGCACGGATTCGCTGAAGGGACGCCGCGGAAGGCTGCCATCGAAACCAAAATCTCCCCAAGAATCGCCACCCTCGCCGCCCATCTCGTTGATTACAGCACTGGTGCGCAGCCATGTGGACACCACACCGGATCCCTCGTGTCTGGACTACAGCCACTACGAGGAGCTGTCGATGAGCGAGGCGGACAAGGTGCAGCAGTTCTACCAACTGCTGACCAGTTCCGTGGACGTGATCAAGCAGTTCGCCGAGAAGATTCCCGGCTACTTTGATCTCCTGCCGGAGGACCAGGAGCTGCTCTTCCAGAGCGCCTCGCTGGAACTGTTTGTCCTGCGGCTGGCCTATCGGGCCAGGAGCGACGACACCAAGCTGATCTTCTGCAATGGAACGGTGCTGCATCGCACCCAGTGCCTGCGATCCTTTGGCGAGTGGCTCAACGACATCATGGAGTTCAGCCACAGTCTGCACAACCTGGAGATCGACATCTCCGCCTTCGCCTGCCTCTGCGCCCTCACCCTGATCACAGGTGGGTAAAGTCTCTTTGAATAGGGATGAAAGGTGTTTGGGAACTCGGGACGTAGAAGTACAGACCAGAAACGTACCATAAAGTATCTCCTACATTTTTTAGTAATTATCAGATTTATAGAAAGTATTAAGGATCACAAAATATAAGATTCACAAGACTTAAAATTTATGAAAAATATATAATACTACAAGACTTCTAAAATTGGTAAATCCATGAGTCCTGTAAATATTACCTATATCTTTTCAACATAAAAAGCTAAAAATGTCATTTAATTATCTTATTTTTTAAAGATGTTAGCTAAATGTTAACTTAATAATCCTAAAACCAAAAGCAAAATGTCCTAACCCAACCCGTCTTTTCTTAACTTTTTCAATCTTCAGAACGCCATGGCCTGCGGGAGCCGAAGAAAGTGGAGCAACTGCAGATGAAAATCATCGGTAGTCTGCGCGACCATGTCACCTACAATGCCGAGGCCCAGAAGAAACAGCACTACTTCAGCCGCCTGCTGGGCAAGTTGCCCGAACTGCGATCCCTAAGCGTCCAGGGATTGCAGCGGATCTTCTATCTGAAGCTGGAGGATCTCGTACCGGCGCCAGCCCTCATAGAGAACATGTTCGTCACTACATTGCCCTTCTAGAGGCGATCAAGCGTATCATCACAACTTTGCTTCCTTAAACTAGACCTAAGCCGTGCCCTCACATACTTAACATAGGCAGGACCCAATAGAACCCAACTAGCTTTAGTAGAACCCTGAAATAAATAAATCTCACAAAACTGAAACCGAAATAAAGTGCATACCCAGGCCATATCTATATAGTGTAGAGGTAGATAGATTGCCGGACAGCCCCGGCTTCTTCGATAATTACGGACATGAATATTTGAGAGAGGGTTTCCAGTGTAAATCCTGCTCCTGCGTGACTCGTCAGCACTGGAAATTACAACTTGTTGACGTTAATTGTTAAATTGTTTAATTTCAACTGTCAGAATCAATCGGCAGGCACGCAATGAATGGAAACACTTTCTATCCCCGGACTCAAAGCTTGCTCAACATTCGGCACTAACGGACAGACGGACGGACGGACAGAACGCTCTCTTGCCTTTTTGCTAACTTCTAGTCAATTGTTTTAGGCAAAGTAAATAATTAATTAAAAGCGTGCGGCGGTAGTGTTATATAATTTATACCCTAAACTAGACCCTAGCACTTCTCTTCAAGAATAACCCAAAATAAGTTCCACAAACTGGGTATACCCTTAAATAATAAAAACGATTGTCCTTGAATTTCTTTTAAAACTTCTCAAATCTATAGCCAATTTGTGAAAATCCACTATCATATCATATAGCAAAGCCATGCTTGCCCCTAGCAAATATATAAACCCGCATAAAGTTGATAGCCCAACCAAGTATTTCCGTTAAGTCCTAGAGTAAGACTCCTAATAGTTGTAGGCTATGTCTATTCTGTTCAAATTTTCAATGCACCAACTAGTGCACAATGAGAGTTTAAGTACCTTTTTGTGATGATTGTGTCTGACACAGAGAGAGTTGCACACAAACACACAAGCTAGCGGATAAGCATATATATACTATCTAAAATAAATAATCTCTAGGGTAAGCCCAAGTATTCGGTAATCCAAAACCCATGTATATCCGTAGTTAGTACGTTCCAAACGAGAGAAAAACTTTATTTAATCTTAAACCACTTCGACTAAGTTCTCAAAGAAACGCAAATGGATCGTTAGATCTGTCTCTCTCTATATGTGTGCGTTATCTCGATAGAAAACCCCTCTATGTGATTTTGTGATAGATTGGCATTGAACTCTATAATATATATACACGCATAAATATATATTTTTATGTCTAACTTTTGTATGGTTTATTTTATATGTACCACTTTTCTTTGATAACAAAAAGTAAGAAAAAGAGATCATTAGATAGCAAATATTTCAAATGTATGTTATGAGGAATTTTCAAAGTACAGCCTTTAGCAACTTTCCAATTAACGTTTGTATTAACAAAAGACATTTTCTATGTGTAAAATTCAAGACTTCTATAACTAAATGTAAACTAAAAAGCAAAAACACTGAAACCAATGTGAATAACATATCTCTTCAAGCTTTCGAGTGCACGAAACATGTAGAACCGAAACAAAAAGTGTTACTAAATCTATTTAATATATTGGCATACCTGGGGCGGCGAGGTGATCAATAAATTCGCATTAACTATACAATTTAGATAGATCATTAATAAATTATTGTACATGTAGCACATCAAATGTTCGACAACTAGATTTTGTACCATCTTTAAGGAGAACATAGGCCAAGCTAAACTAAGTATAAACCATGATCTGCATGCGGCTAAGCTGAAGCTATAAACAAACACAATGGGGTGTAATTAAATTAAATGGGAAATTTTGGAGTTTGTTGAAGATTAGCATGGGTTATCCATAACTTATAATTGTTTTTAAAAGAGAGAATTTCGAAATGACCCATTTCATTTGATTCCACCCACCTCAAACACACATCCTAAGAAAGTTGAAAGGTTTAGAAACCATAGAGCAATATTTCATAAGGAAAATGCACCTTTAATTAACTACAAATATAGCTAAACTAAACCTGAACATGTAACGGTTAGGAGCGAAAATAAAACAGGATAAAACAGGAACAGTACGGTGACCAAAACAGTTTGAAACGAGATGTTAGATAGGTTCGGGTTCGAAACCCTCAAAGCGATGCCATTTTTTAGCCGTTACAACATTGGATATCAATCATGCACATGAATATAAATATTATAAAGATATATCTAGCTATAGGAACCTACTTTGTACCTACACAACATGGAAACATCAAACCTACATGCATATTTACACATATATATTTTGAATAGCGCGACAACTTTTACAAGTTATGGACTTCTGGCACAAAGCTATAGCTATAGCTGGATATGGCCATACCGGAGCGAGCATATACATATATATTTTGGTTTATTGTTCTTTTGTAATTTTATAAATGCATACATATATACTACGTAAATGTCAAGTGTGGATTCATATTTTTGAGATACAGTTACAAAACGAAACAAAAACCGTAAAACGTGAAATTTTTCGATGAAACGATTTTAAATGAGAACTTTTTAATATTGCTATAAAAAGATATACACATAATATATATATTTTACTATGTAACGGATAGAATTAAGCTAGAAGCAGCGCATAAAGCTTTATACAACAAACTAAAAAGGAAAAAGCAAAAGAAATTGGCACAAATTAAATTTATATAGCAAATAGACGTTTTTTTCGAAAGATAATGTTATTCGTAATAGAGTGAGTTTATTGGAGCAACAGACGCTATATCTCCAATACACAGAACCACACAACAGATAACTTAGCCTATATATTCAATCCAATTATGCGCCTACTACTAGCGATGAGCAGAAAGAAAAGAGAGGTGAAACCTAAAGACGCTATAACAAATATCTATCTGATAGATGATAGCCCGTTGTGTAATTTTACTCTTATTTGATCGTTTCATTTACCAGTTAAGTATCCAAAACAATACGCATATGAGTGTTATGAAAAAAAAAACCTATAACTTGCAATTCAATTAACTCTGCAATACAATACCAAGCAAAGCGAATCATTTCATTTCGATTTAAATTTAAATTTACATTTAAATTAAATAAAGATGTAAGCCCAAAACAAACGTTTTTCTATATCTGTCTTTTGAGCAAATTAGTTATACGAAAAACCAAACCGTATTTACATAAATGTATACAAAACAAATCGTATATTTTCATTGGTTTGAAATAAATACATAAAACAATTTAGTTTCGAAAGTTATTTTGGACATTTTTGGGAGGTCTTTTGAAATATGTTGTCTACTTTGGTGATTCTGCAGTCTTGAGATAAACCTCTCTTGTAATTATATTATTTTTTATTTTTAGGTACTGTATTCTGTAATTATAGAGTTTGTTTCGCTGTCCAAACATTTTTTAATATAATCATCTTTAACCAATGGCATTTGGTTGTATCCTTAGTTCGATATTGTGCTCTTAAAAGCTAAATTCCAATTGGCAGTCTTATATACATTTATGCTAGGTTCTACAATCTTTACAAAAATAGGCAGTGTCAAATGTAGACCGGCAGAAACGACATGATGTCGTTCCGGCACACAGGACAGCGATGCTCCAAGCGGAGCCGCAGCTGCTGCGAGCACTCCTTGCAGAGGCAGAGATGCCGGCAGGGCATGATCACGATGTTCCGGCTGCGCTCCATGCAGACCACACAGCCTCCGCGATTCGGAGATCCGGCGTTTCCCGGATCGTTGCGCATGTTCTGCCTGAATCGCTGCAACTGCTGATCGGTCCAGTGGTAGACGCTTTGCGTCTTCGTCGAGATCTCGATGCGGGCACGTTGGAGCAGGTAGATGAGCAGCAGGTACACATATCGTCGAAACATGTAGAGAACCAGGAGCACGGACAATCCGATCGAGAGTCGGAACACGCTGTTCAGTAGGCTGAGGCCACGGGCCACGATGGAGTGGAATACAAAGTCCAGGAGGCAGTCCACGGTGAACAGTATGATCCGTGGGAGCAGCAACAACACCCACAAGATGCAATCGCCCAGTTCGATGAGCAGATTGCAGAAGAACCGGCCTACTGATTGGCCGAAATCCCAGGCGTTCTTAAGACCTCCCCTGGTTCCGTCATACAAGTAGTCGGTCACATCCAGCGTGATGAGGCGCAGGTCGCAGCATCCTCGGTGGATGTCGCTGACCGTAGATCTCACCAGATTCCAAGCTAACGTACTGCCCTCCACCAAGCAATAGCCCACAAAGTAGCTGCCCCACAGGAAGTAGTACACGCCGGTGACGACCGCATCGATAACGCTGGCCAAGGGACGCAGAAGGAACTGGTCCACGAACTCCGCTACCCGGACTAGAGTGTACAGCATGGCGGGGATAACATCCTCTCGAGAAATCAAAATAAACGGCAAAACACAAAAGCAAAACAAACAAGAATGCCGGGGAATTGGTGTGACCAGGCTTGGATTGATGAATAATACCTAACTATCGTTGTGACAAGGTGGCGTCACAAGTGTTATATAATTAACAATTATTAATTTAATTATTATAATCTAAAATATTTTGGATATTATATTTTTTATTAATTTATTTATGTAAAGATTTCTTATATATTTATTTACAAGTTTTTGGATAGTTTCTTATCAAAATTGTACAAGATTTTTTAACATAGCGAATTAAATAACACTGGTCGACAAAAAAAAAAAGAGTAAAATACCAAACCTGAAAGGATTTTAGCTGTAGATTACTACCTCATACTTTTACACGTCGAGTTTTGAAGTCCGTGGTCAAAGTTTTTCGATTTTTAGGCACTTTTGCGGCTTAATAGTAAGAAAGTTTAGCCCGGAGCCAAATTTAGCGGAAATGGTACCTTGAACCTTTAACTTCAGAGTGTCCAATCACAAAGCTGGGCGACCTCTTTTTGCAATGGTTTTGAAGTACTTTTGTCACTTTTTCATCTATAGTAGCCTGATATTTTTCTTGTTGAACTGAGACCCATATACATACAATACATTAAAAATATCAGGCTACTATAGATGAAAAAAGTGACAAAAGTACTTCTGTAAAATCCATTGTGCTAAAGAAGTAGAGGTCGCCCAGCTTTGTGATTGGACACCTTGAGTTAAAGGTTCAGGTACCATTTCCGCTAAATTGTGGCTCTGGGCTACGAAAGGTTTTCTTACTATTAAGCCGCAAAAAGTGCCTAAAAATCGAAAATTTGGAACTTTGACCACGGATTTCTCAAAACTTCGACGTGATGGAAAGTTTCCAAGTATGAGGTAGTAATCTACAGCTAAAATTCTTTCAGGTTTTGTAGCGTTTATTCTTGGGCCAAGAAAAAGTCTTGATTTTGTCGACCTGTGTAATTAAACAGACATAAATGATTCAATTATTACACATTCTAGTCTTAAATGGTTCTTAAAGTTAGTAGCAAGACCTTAATTATAATTCACTATCATCCCTCCCCATATTTTTTAACGAAGCCCCACAAATACTCATAAGGGGGATTCTATAATCTGATTAATATTCTTTAAGCTTACCTGTTTTTAAAAGCAATTTAATGCAAGAAATTAATTATTTAATTAGTTAACGATATTTCATATTAAATGTGTTTGTTTATATTGATAAAGCTGTTCAAACCCGGAAAGTAAATTATAAACTTTTAGAATATCCCAATACTTTTCAGGAGTACCCCTAATATTATTAATCCTGTTATTAAATTATTTCCGGATCTTTAAGGAACCTTTGTTCTGTGCTTTCCATATAGACGAATAGGATTAATAATAAATATACGTAATTATAAATGCAGTTGCACTAAGCACGTAGGGCTTTTTTTGCAGTCGCTGCAATACCATACTTTTTGTTTTTGGGGATGAAACAGTAAAAAAGTTACTGTTGTAGCTGTTTTTCCACCGTTGAGAGGACATTTGACAAGTAATCCCGACTTTTCCTGGAAAGCTCTGTATCAAAACGAACTAAAAATCGATTAAATCTTTATATTTTGTGCAGATTTTGCTTTAAGCCGAAGCTGCTCAAGGTCCAAGTCCAAGATGGAGGAATCCAATCGCGGTATGGCTGGCTGTGAAAACGTATCGCAGTTCATGCTCGATGACCTGCAATTAGCTGCGGAACTGGGAAAAACCCTTTTAGAACGCAACAAGGAGCTGGAAACCTTCATAAAGGAGTACAAAATCAAGGGGGATGAACAGGAGCTGGAGATTTTGCACCTTCGCAAGCACATTAATGCGATGACGGAAGTGAATGACTCAAGGCTGAAGGTCTACGAGCAGCTAGAAGTCGGTATTCAGGATCTGGAGCGAGCCAATCAGCGGCTTAATTTGGAAAAGAATCGCGATAAGAAGCAACTCAAGTCCCTGACCACCAACACGGAGGTTCTCGAAGCCCGCTGCGAGGAGCTGAACCAGCTTTTGAGCGATGCCCGGCAATCCTTGAGCACCGAACGGCGAAAGGTGGATCAATTGCAGCAGGAGCGCTACAGAATGCAGCATTCGGCCGAGGGTTCCGTTTCCAGCCACAGCATTCAGTCCTTGTGCAAGGAGCAGAATCTGGAGTTCTCCAAGCTGGATGTCATGGCCATGGCCAACTCGACGGGCTTGGAGGATCTCTCCTTTCAGCAATGCCACCATGTGTGAGAGGACCGCCGCAAAGGGGGAAGACAACGAGGAACTGGTGAAGCTCCTCAGCGAAATGGAGATCCTGAAACGTGATTTCCTGGGAGAACAGCAGCGTTGCACCGAGCTGGAGGAGCAGTTGGTGACCATAATCCAGGATAACCAGGGTCTGCAAAGCCGTCTACTCGAAAACAGTGGCAACGAGGGAACCATGTCGATGCACGAAGAGTTTAGCCTTCTGGACGACGTGAGGCAGGGCCAGATGTGTAGTCGCTGTCTGAGGGATATAAACGAGAGTAATACCAATATGGATGATCAATCTTCCATCGCTCCGACCGAGGAAATCTACGAGGACGACGACCGAAGCATACAGAGCGAAAACACCTCAAAGTGCGACAACAGTGCGGCGGATTACAAGGAACGTTTTCGAATTCCCGAGGATCTTAATCTGAACGCGAGCGATAAGCCGAATCCCTATCGAGACCTAGTCGAAAAGTATGAAGCCTTGGTGGAAGTCAAGAGAACCTCAAATGCGGCCAAGAACAATTTTGCCAGCAATTCAGATGGCAAGACCATCACTGAACTAAGTCAAAGCAAAAAACCAGAAGCAAATGTTAACAGCTCAAAGGAATCTGACCTTATGCTGGAGGCAAACCGCAAGCGCACTCCAACTGAGTTTTCCGAATCCGAGACTACATCATCGGGATTCTCGGATGAAACTAGCAACAAATGCACACAAACCGACGAGCGTCCCAGCTTCTTCCTGTGCTCAATTAGTAATGGAAACGACTGTAAATTCAGTATTTACGACGATGTCAGTCCCATTGAATCTCATTTCCGGAATCGCCCCGAGTACAGGGAACTTTTCAAGGAGATATTCGGAGTGCTCAAGAAAGCTGCTGATAATAACGAGGTAGACAAGCTACCGTCTCTGCATGACGACGCACAGGCCATTGAAAAAATACCATTGATCCCGGCCAAAGTACCGCCGGTAACACCCGAAAGGGAGGAATCTCCAGATGACTTCATCGACGACGACACACAGAGCGTCGTGTCCTCGGTTATATCCAATCAGTCCATCGCAATGTCCGAGTGCGTAACCAAGTTGGAACGCAAAACAGCCAAGAAGCACATCTTTGAAGTCCGAAATCAACAACACCAATCGTCCCACACACAATCTACCCTGTTGAATAGCTCTTCGAAGGAAACGACTGTCGGGGAACCGCATGTTAAGCAGCTTAGGGAAAATGGCCAGGTACTCACTCCGCTCAAACGGGAACCACTCGAATATTTAACCGTAGGTGTCGGCATCAAAAAGAAGAACCGACGAAAGCACCGCAACCAAAGCTCCCCCGGAGATCGCATCGAATTGTTCAACTCGCGGGAGTTCACTCCCAGGAACAGTCCTCTGGCCATGAATCACCGCGGTGGACAGGGCAGCTCAAAGATGTGTACGGACACATTGAACGCGGAATTCGGACGCAGCAATCGCAGACGGACTACACCTTCCTCGAGCAATTGGAACGGTTCGCCAATGGTAATCTACAACAAGAACATGAATACTCCCCAGACTTCTCGTGGCCGTGTAATAGAGTTAAATGGCGTCGAATTCTATCATAATACGGTATCGCAAGATTTACATAAACTCAAGAAACTAGACTTATCTTATGCTGAAGTACTGCGCCGCGCCGATGCCGGCGATCATATTCCCACAAAATTACATTCCCAGCGGCAACAACACAACGGAGCCAATATACGAAAGAATCATCATCAGTATCGTCAAAAGTAACCTTGTTTAGAGAATGTAAATAATTAATTATACATTGCATTCTAGCCGTAGGGCATTATAACATTTTTTAAATTGTATGTGCCATGAAGTCTAGTCCGCTTTTTAATGTATAGACAGTTAAATTACAATAATAGATTAACTATTAACGGAAATTAAATTGTATTTCAGCATGATAAAATAAATTATTAAATGACCTACAAATATTTTACTTACTTCTGATACCTAAACTGTAATTAGGAAAATTCTTTGTTGATGCGTTTCAAGTTTCAGATATAAAATCAAACATTTATTGTAATCTTACTAGGTAAACAAAGGCCAATAAAATACTCTTTCACTTTCACTGCTTTCCAGGCTAACTGTTTTCAATACCTCCATTTGAAATTCCCAGTTTGCTAAGCAAACTTATTATCTCGCTGTTGGTCCTCATGACAGCCATCACTTCCTGTTGCTGCTGCTGCATCACCCGCAACCGATTCCTTTCCTCGATCTTGGCCAGCTGGTTATTGTTGTTTATTGTCTTCGTGTCCACGTCCAGTTTTAGCTCCGATTTTACGTGATACAGTTCATCGCGTATGCCGTTCAATTTCCGCTCGCAGTCACGGACGTCTTTCTCCAGGATTTGCGTTTTAAGATAGACAGTCTGGGCCAACTTGTACCAGTCCGCCAGGCACTCTGCGATCTGAGCCACTGTGGGATTTACATTATCCAAAAGCAAGGCCTTGATGCGCTTGCCGTTGTGATCCACTTTGATCTTCTCCAAAGCGTGAAACTGCTCATCGTTGTAGGTCAGCGTACGCGTGGCGCGATCTCGGAGCAGATGCTGCCAGGAGTCGCGCAGCCTTTCCACCAGATACTTGGCTTGGGCACTTGCCCTGGTCCTACAAGGACACTTCTTGCCGTGCATAGAAGAGGTCCATTGGTCGCTGGTTGAACGAATTAAAATTTGGTTAAAACGAATCATTTGCTTACTATATAATAGTTACTTGAGTTCATCATCTGTGACAAAATGTTTGTGCATTTGTGAGATCACATCGGCGGCGCCATCAAAGTCGCTTTTCACGTTATCCAAGGCAGTCAGCAGGATCTTTAACTCCGGATCCCCCTTTGTCTAAAATATAGGGAAACCAAATTGTTTAAATATTTTCTTTATAAGAAGACCCCAATCACTTACCACTCTGGCCATGCTTTGAACCACATCTGCATAGTCAATTACAGTGGACAGCAAGTTGTCAAAACTCTCGGTTTTCCTGAAATATAAATTACAAGTTAAGGGCTGCACATTAATGCCTTCATCCACTCACTTTAAAAGCAGAGTTATCGTGGTTATTAGCATTTCTATGAAGTGCTCCACTCCCTTTTTAATAAGAATATCCATGGAAGTAAAGATGTCCACGCGTCTTTTGCATTCGTGACCAACGCTACAAGCGGATTTAGCCAAGCTGGCGTCATTTTCCACAGAAACATTGGGAGGAAACACGGGGAATTTGGGAAGATCCAATTGCTGGGGCAGCTGAACATTGTTGTCGTCGTTGCTGTACAGAAATATGGGCTGCTCCGTGGTGGTGACAGGGAATGCCTTTGCTGGAAGGGATGAAAACCATTAAAATCCCCAAAGAAACCTCGAAAAATTACAGACTTACCTATGGTTCGTGGAGTAACCTTTTTCTCCAGATGCTCGTTGTTGAACAACAGGATCTGCTTCTCCAGTGGCACCTCAGTCTGCAGGAAAATGCGTTCCCGGAAGTTGTCAATCTGCTCTTCGGGCTCCAGGAATACTTCCACGGAACTGGTGCGGTTGGTAAAAAATACATGGATGACGCGCTTGCGCAGAATGAGCGTCACCTCATGGAAGAACCGGTCGAATGACCAGGTTTTCTCCCTGTTCTCCTCAAGAAGCCCGGCTAGGAGCGGAGTCACCAGAGTCTTCAACCCCTGCGAGAGATGTGCATGCGGCGGCAGCGTGGTGGACCATTCTATGGGACCATTTTCGGAAAGCTGAGTGCCGGAAATCACCCCGGAAGCCTTCTTGGTGGTGATTTGGTGCATGGTCTCCCGGTTCTTCCTTCCCCCGAAGGGTCTAAAAGGCAGATTGCCAGTGGCCACGTGATACAGGGTAACCCCAATGGACCACAGATCCACATTGGCGGTGAAGGAGCGCTGGATGGACTTCCTCAGCACAGCACGCTCGTAGAGGTCGGGATGGAGGTACTCCTCTGTGCCGTACAGCGAGGCAAACGGCTGATTGTCCTCCAGTTCTCGGGCAGCACCAAAGTCTGTGAGCTTGTAGATGGTCTGGCCGTCCTCCGAGATGAACTTCATGATATTTCCGGGCTTGAGATCGCGATGCACCAGCTTGTTGTCCCGCAGATGCTTCATTCCGGCGCACAGGTGCTCCAGCACCAGTAGGAACTCGTGTTCCGGCAGTCCGTACGAGTTCTCTGGATCGTCCAGGATGTTGAAGAGACTGCCGCCGGTGCAGAGCTCCATCACTATCACCTTGCCACGACCCTCCTGATCCTCCTCGATGGCCAGCAGCTTTACTATGTTCTCGTGGTTGACCTTCTTCAGGGCCTCGAATTCCCGCATCTGCACATCCGCCGGCCGCATGTGACTGTAGGGATTAAAAGTCTTTACCGCCACCGATTCGCCGGTGATCTTGTTGACCCCCTGAAAAGCAAGGAAAATTCAAAAGGAAAGTGAGTCAAGACGAAAATTCGTAGACTCGTAAAAACAAAACTCACCTGGAACACGGATCCGGTGGCTCCTTTCCCCAGGACACTGGTCGTGCACCACACATAGCTCACGGAGCCGCGGAGGAAGGACATTTTGGAGCTGTTTTCCACCTATTTCCTTGTTATTTCGGTTTATTTCCAAGCGCCTCGATGGTGACAAACAAAACACTTGTATGAAAGGTCTATCGAAAACACTACTCAACAAGCAAGTCTTAACCATGCTTTTAAAAAAAAGTTTTTTTAGCAGTTGTAAAAATAAATGTTAATGATCATGTAGGAAAAAACAATACAAACGAACAGTTATTACATTTAATATTTTATTTTGAATTTTTAAATAATTGTAAATAAAAAACAAGTTTTTAGTTCCCTGCTCACCAGTGTAGTCGATAGAAAGTAGTGAGCTCGGCGATTATCGTGACTGCTTCCCCCGATGGCTGCTACTTCGATAGCCCGCCTATCGCTTGGCCAGGCCATCGTTAGTTTTTTGTTGTTTTACGTGCGCGTTGACATTTTGCAGCGCTTTTAATTTATTATTATTATTTAAACTTACTAGTTAGGGAGTTGAATTCGCGTTCGACCTTCGACCGATTTCGGGCGCCGCAAGTTTGTTGATTTTTCCAACGAAACCCATGACAAAAGCGCTGGCAGGACGATATAGGAATTTTTTTGCGAGCGACTGCCCCGTCAGTTTGCAAAAATAGTAAAATAGTTAGAGCCAATTAGGCTTTAGCCCCGGTTAAGTTAAGTTAGAGCGACTAAAACGATGCACATGCGACTGCATTTGGTGCGCTTTATGTACATAAATCTACTGCTGAGGTGAGGAATTCGAGAGACTTTCCGTATACGGAGTGTTTTCTAAGGGGATTTTCGGTTTTTCCGATTGCAGCTGCTGTTTCTGGTTGTACGACAATGTGGCAGCTGCAGATGCACATGCACAGACACCAAGTAACGACGATGGAGATTCGGGCTCAGTCGAGGTGACTACGGATGCCGTTCGGAAGACCCACTTAAATGCGGAAGAACCGGCGGCGCCACCGAAACCGGAGCCTCCGCCCCCGCCACTCGACGATGGAGCTGCGTTGCCCACTCCAGATGGTGGCGAACCCACCATTTCGGCACCCTCCCCGGAGTCGCAAACTGGCAATCGGCCAATATCCGGGGACACGTCAGTGCCCGTGGAGGAACAGCCCGCGGTAGCCGCACATAGCCATAGTGAATATGTTAGTGAATTCGATTTAGCCGCTGATGGTGACGCCCCCTCATCCACCGCCCAAGTGCCAAATAATCAATTAAATTATAATAATCGTAATAATGCCGGGAAAGTGCATAGTTTTAGTGAATCGCAGCAATTAGAGCAACCAAAGGAATTGGAGGAGGAGGGGACACAATCGCCGGAGCTGCAGCAACAAAAACAACAACAACAATCGCAGGCGGAAGAAAGGTGAGTGGTTTATTGATCCTACACTCGCGGGCAACATCATAGTGGTTATAATGGTAATCGTATGGTTAAGTCAGAGGTTTAAGGAGTGCCTTTCGATATGATTTAATCATGTTTTGTTATTTATTTTTGGGTAAACAATGAGTAATACATATATACTAATGTATAATGTCTTTTTGAATGAAATGGAGCTATTTGTAAACTTATTATTTCAATTTGTAATATTCTTTTTTATTACTTTGCGGAATACCTATGCACTTGCCTTAGGAACGACTGGGTTTTTACTGATAAGTGCTAGTGACCCACTGACGTGCCTTTCTAGTTGTGTTTCCAGGGGAAGTATGTATTTCCCGCTGACGCAATTTCAGTTATCAATACGAAAGCATTTTCCCATCGACGTGACTTACTCGCTTGAACTTGAACATAAATCAAACATGAGGGCTACAGCAAAGGCCAATTTTAATTTACTTTGTCGAAGTCCAGAGAGAACAGAAAGAAACTAAAGAGAAGAAATACAGGGGTTGAATATGTGAAGCAGATAAAAAATGATAGCATGTCTGAAATGCAATCTCATTATTTTTTGTTTCCTACAAACTGGATTTTCATTCTAAAAGTGAAAAAATAAAAAATGTTTGTGGGTTTCTATTTGCACGGGCTGAATAAAATTCCATTTATGAAATATATTTATTGTTGTTGATCCTATTTTACCGCTACAAGATAAGTATACTCTACTAAGGTCTTTTCTCAAATATTAATAATTTGTCCCTAAAATTAAATGCTTTTCATATTTATTTCAAGCCATTCAAGAAAATAGATTAAGTTCCCTAGCATTGGCCTTCATCTACAACTCGTGCTGTTATCAGCTGTACTAAAGCTATTCGCTTCTTATATTGGGGGGCTCTTCTGTTAGCCGACTAAAGCTTATCAGCACTCCGGGCTTGTTGTTGTCACGTCTTGAGGTTGCGGGCACGATTTAAGTTCGTTCACATGCTTCACTTGCAACCCATCAACATCTGGGTGAGATAAAAGATGCCTTTCACTCATTTGTTCGCTGGCAAGGTCACCGCTGAATGTTTTGCTGGGGGTTTGCTTTTCTTTCCTATAAATAGCACTGTCCAATAATATGATTATCGATGGGCTATATGATACTATTCGCCAGCTACGTGTGGCGTCAAACTCATTTGTGATTTTTAAAATATTCTCAGGCAATTCCCAGAGTTTTGTTTACTTACTTGCACGCGACATCGCCACGTCGTTAATCTTTGTGACTGCAAATGCTTTTACAATTGCTGATAATTGTTTCGTATGTACTACTCGTACGCTATACATAGTATTGCATTTCATAGTATACAAACCGCATGCATTTGCTTATATTTCATTGATAGAGTTTTACCCCCGCAACTTGATATTGATTAAGTGCAGCAATTGTTTTCAACTACGTAACTGGGGTTTATTTTTAGACATTTTCTGGCGCCATTAGGTAATCTTATCTAGTTCTAGATTTCATCGGTTCAGTTTTATGTGCATCCTCATCGCTGCTTGGTAAATATGAACTTGACCTTGGATTGTGTTAATAGTTTACTTATACTTGCCTTAGTAATTATTCAGGAGTGATAACTTACTTATTTTGCTACTGACAACTGTTCCCCTGAAATATATTTATGAAGAAGACTTTTAGTAGGAGTTTAGTAGTTTTCCAATCAGTTAAATTTTTTAACCGGGTTTAGCTTGAGATAAATTATTTTTTATATCTGTAAAGCATCCAGAAATGAATTAAACTGAATTACATGATTTTAGGCAAACTAAGTAATGCTTAATTTAAATGTAATTAATTATAATTAAGTACTGCTTGATTTAATTTATAAAACAACCGCCCATTTCTAGAAATTCCTTTCGCCAATTTAAGTGCTTATATAGCCCTGGGGTTATTAGGTTTTAGCAGTTAAACCGACATGTGTAAAATATTTTAAATAATAACTCATTCGCGGGCATTTCGTAACCAGGGGCCAAACTATATGTGAATTATATACGAAACTGTCTCTGTCCAGACGTGATCGCCCAGTGCCCGAACCCAACGCCATTTCCATACCATACCGATTCCAATCCAGCGTAGCTGCAACTCCAGCTCCGGCGATCACCCACGCGTTGTCTTGTCACAATGCCTTTTGCCGGTAATTTGCTTTACAGTTTTTCAATTTATTTTCCCCCGCCGCCTCCTCGGCGTGAGTGTACTTTCTAAATGCCTCCTCCGTCAGTCAGTCTGGGCCTATCTATTGGTGGCCGGCCATTTCATTCATCCCAAAAAGTAGAAAAAATCGAAGCTACGGTTTACGATTCGCAGGCACTGTGGGTGCCACAAGTGCCATGGAAAACTAAGATCAGACAAAAGCAACCTGTTTCGAATTCGGAAGAAGTAAGATTCCCTGACGTTCGGTAAAAAATAAATTCCACAAATGGAAAACAATGAAATCCTATACATAAAACTAAAATTTGTATATTCAATTTATTTTTAAATTTGTGAGAAAGATGGCTACATTATTTAGGATTCGTACCATAGTTTCTTTCGACCCTGTAATTTAAAAAAAAAAACAAATTAAAATAAACACCCCACCATAACGAGGTATCAAATCGCCAACTTTTATTCGCAGATCCTTTAAAGGCTTCGTTGAACATATTTCCATATCGTTTGCGACTTGATTTTAGTGCGCTGCTTTATCGAGGGTGGTAAAAGTGTTAAATGGGATCGAATCAGAGCTGGCTTCGATTGGATGTCATGTTTGTGTCTGGCTGGCCCCGTAAATGGCTTTATCAGTACGAAATTTACTTTCATTTTTTGCATTTGCCTCGAACAATTTTCGCCAGCGCCTCCTGACAGACATAAATAAATTTTTCCAGCCGCGTCGGTAGCACGCAGCCGACAGAATCAAAATCCATTTTAGCCTTCCAGACATTTCACACATTGCTGCCAGAGACCAGGGACTGAATGCATATATAGTAGTTGGTGTGTAGTATCCAAGTATCTGGCAGGTGATCGGCGAGCGAATCTTTCGCTGGTCGGGGAATTACTTTCACTTTCGATGCAAAGGACTCTCTAAAGAGATTTTACAATTTGGGCTTTCAAATGCATCATGATCTTGTTTAGCGTAATCAAACTTGGCAAAAAGCCATTATCATGTGTGTACGTACAATAAAGCGCAGTTGCACAGGGAAAAACTTGGACATCTATTCGAGGGCTTGAACTAAATATGGAGTATTATTAAGTTCTTCTAACATCTTCTAAATGATCTTATAAAAAATCTTTCATTATGAAAATAACAGATTAAGCGATCAATCCTAAGTTAGGTATTCTAACCATAAACTCTTGTTACTGAAAAATAAAATCCATATTAATACAGAAAGAAGCTAATACATAGAATTTTATGTGTAGTGCTATTATACTAAAAGAGAAATGTAAAAAAATATTAAATAATCCTTAACAATATATACTATAATTTTTACATCTCATAACCCAAAACGATCTAAATTTTTTCCGTGTGTCCCATGGACTTGCCCATAAAATTCACAGATCGTTCACGGCGATCAGCCAATTGGCACTTATGCAAATGTCTCGGACTTGCAGCTTCGGAGGATTATATTTTACGTATATGTACGTATAAAACTAGCGCCGATCTGCTGTCAATGATCGCTCAACGATCGTCATGAACGATCCTCTCCCACGACGGAATGGAATGGAATGAAATGATCGATCTTATCGCCTCGCCTCAATGTCCGAATACTTAATTGATTGTGAGCGTGCGCCCATTGACTTTCGTCAATCAATTTTGATCGCTGATCGTTGATCGCCAGGTGATCGCCGATTACTGATCTCGTCCAACTGCATTGATTAAGCCGCTGTCGTACGCCTTCACCTGTCTTTTTTCGTAGGCATTCCTCTCGCATTTTCGCTCTTTTTACTTGTATTTTTCATTCATTTATTTAGGCGCCTCTCTAATGAAAATCGGAAAACAAAACAACTCTCGCGACCGGCAGAGAGAGAGGGTCTGTGAAAAGCCGGTTTCTGCCGGCATTTTTCTCTCATGTCTTTTTGCTCCCCTTGTTTTGGTCTCTTGCATTTGTTATTTGTTACTGATTATCTGGCGAAAAACGCGGGGTGGTGGGGAGGTGGGGAGACCAGACCCCCAGACATAGACGTAGACGTGTAGACGTTTTGGCATCGTGCGGAGTGAAAAATGTTCGAGACGCGTAGGTGTCCAACTGGCGGGAGGGTGGAGGTGGGTGGTGGAAATGGAGGCGGAAGGGGGAGGGGCAAGGCAGCTGCTGCCGCGACTTTGAGTTATTATACAGTTTTTTTGTTAAACAAATTAATACGAAATTCTTCGGTGGAAACTGAGTAAACTGTTTGTTTGGTTGCACTTTTGATGGAGGTTTATTAAGTTGTGGGAGATTTTTTTATACGAAAATAAAACCGCGAGTGGGATGTTGCATATTTGGGATTCCTCAGCAATTCAATTGAGGAAATTAAAATATTGATTTGCACATTTTTAAAAGAAGTTTTAATTTCAATATTACACAATTGAAAATGGAAAAATTTAAAATGGGACTTTCCATAAACTTACCGTGCTTATAAATTTTATGGTTTTTGGAAGTAAAGATCATAAATAACTTTATGACTATTTTTTACATAACCTGACAGCACCGAAGATACAAGCATCTGCATTGCCATGAACATGGGATGCAAAATGCATAAAAACATACACAATCTTAACTACCGATCAAGGATCTTTGCATCAAACCTAACACAAAGTTCAATTGCTTTACTGTAACCTAAACTCTGAACTGGAATCCACCCTCTGAGGCACCGAGAAAAAAGGCCATAAAATCCCCAGCTGCCATTCCAACTTTCTTTCGCAGCTTAGAGCCCCTCTCCTGATTATCCCCCTCCCGCCCCTGGCCACCCACTCATCAGACTGAAGGCTCCGCCAATACTTCAACCACTTAACAAC